TGTGATAAAGCTGAACTCCAGGCATGATATATATATATATATATATATATTATATTATAGATATTTACATGTATGTGTGTAATACCCTGGATGTGCAGTTCTCTTCAGCCAGTCTGGTTTTTCAGGTTTCTGGTGTTCTCCTGCCATACTGCACAGAGAGGTGAGGGACCACCACTCAAATTAGAGCAGCATCCCAAATGCCTGCTAACTGATCAGGCAGTAAATGAAAAGCAGCATAGTGATCAGATTATCCCTCTGCTTACTCTGTTCTCTTCTCTCATCAGCATGATCATTGCAACAACATTCACAGTGCTGCAGAGCGAGTTCCTAATGGTGGCCAATCTGAGTTCTACTGTGCCAGAGGAGTACAGGAGGTTATTAACAAGAAATGTTTAGGCCCCATTCACTCCAGATCTGTTGCATTGTGTTACCATCCATTGATTAACAGATGATAACACAAGGGCAATGAAAAATTAATGGGTGTGAATGAGTACAGTGCACACCGCAGCTTTGCGTTGCTGTACATTGCGCTGAAATGCTTTAAAATTGCATGCTAACGCAATGCATCACAAGCCATTACAGTGAAGTATGTCCACTCAGGACATGTTACTTCACATAAAGCTTGTAAAAAATAAAAAAAAAGGCGTAAAGAAACGGATTGGAGGGAAATCGGAAAGGTACAATCGCAAGTCAACAGGCCCTCCTCCATTGACTTGCAAATACTTTATGATTTTGGTGTAAATGCACCCTTGCGTGCTTGCTGTGGATGCAGTAAAATAAAAATTTAATGAACACATGAAGTGCAGGAATTGGTGCAATTCAGCTTTAATTGTGTGTGTAACATGTTTCTTGTTGGTACAAAGTGTTTTTGGGAAGCTTTAGAATTATCTTTTTTATTGACTTGTATTGCCTATCTAACTGGTTGGTGTAATAAACACAATAAAACACTTGGTCCTTATGTAAGGCACGTAGGCTCATGAAGCTAGTTATACGTTTGTATGTTTGCATGTCACTATTGATGGACAAGTTAATGGAAAGAATTAGACAGCCCTAAAGCTAGCCATACACAGCCCAAATTTCAGCCTATCCCTGCTGAATCGGGCAAAATTCAAGCTGTAAATGGCCCAGTCAGCACCCATTAACTGAGCCAGGTGGAAAATTCTCAGCCGAACAATGACTTCATCCTATCAGAAGCAGTCAATGTTCAGGTATTCAGACAGCTGTGTGTGCTCTGGCTGTTTGAACACAGTGGCGGACAGTGGCAATTACCCTATCCACACTGTATTGTGTGGATGGAGGGAAGTTATTGATTTTCACTCATTCAGCCTGTGGGATGAGGAGGAAAAATCTAGCAACATATGGCTAGCTTTAGCGTATTATTGTTTACTTGTGTGGTTCAGTGTTCTGCTAGACCATGTAATTCCTCATCTATGCCCCAGCACTAAAAGCATGATATACCTCCCTTTTCTTGGACAATGTGAAGATTGGTGTAAGTAAAAGCACTGTATAGGTTTAACTAATTAAAACAACTTTTTTTGTTCACTATATACACTTTATAGACATAAATACACTTTATAGAATAATAGGAACACTATATAGATGTGCCTCAGAAAAAATGTAGCCTTGCTTAATATTAAGAATTCTGTAAACTGATCAACTGTTACATGAGCCTATGCTCCATTTTAAACTTGTAAAAGTGCTGTCTATGAGCAGTCATTCCCATTAATGAAATCACCTTTTACTATTACCTTTATTAGGCAGAATAGTCTTCTATGCCTGTCTCCTATTACTGTGCTACAGGGGCCAAACATTCCCTGACTTCATGGCTAAGGCCTGCCAGCAGCTATTATATTCAGTGGCGTCACAAGGGGGGTGCGGGCCGCACCCAGGTGACACCAAAATGACTGATTGAACAATAATCTGAGACCTTCTATGCCAATACTTGGCCTGTGTATTGTCTACCTAACGTTCAAGGGTAAGCTATATCTGTTGGAATTGCCTGGAATATGGACAGCTGACTCTCACCTGGACCAAATCTGTAAGGCAGAATTCACACCTAAGCATCACCTATTACACATGTTTTTTTTGTGTGTGTGTCGTATGCGCAGATTTTGGCACATTCATGTCAATAAGCAAAACGCGTATAATACGCATCCAAATCACACAAATAATCGCAACACACATTTTTCCAAGCGTTTCCTATTCAGTCTATGGGACAAAACGCACTGAAATCAGCCCCAAAGTAGCGCATG